AGTTTCCAGCGCCTCAAACCTGAAGTCTAATACTTCAGTCGGAATACAAGGAACGCAGAAGAAACGAGTTACTTTTAACCAGAAAACTGTACCAGAGTCAAAAAGGTAGTTGCTTATTGTTTCAAGTATTGGTTTTGTAGGGATTTTGTTTGATTGCGTACTGATGAGGAGTCCCAAACTAGGACGAAACAGCTGGTTCTCTAACTGATGTCAGCTCATGATGAAATCCTCCATGCTTCCTATTTTTTTTATCTATCGAGATATTTTAACGAAATCAATATGAATAGATTGATAGTGATAGTGGCGCACCCGTTGTCACATTGTTTATGCTGAACCGTACGTACGTAGGATTCCTAAATTGGTGTGAACACCAAAATTGTGTATTACAGATTCTGTCAGACAAATTGATCAATTTGATCTACTTTATAAAATGCTGTGAAATGAATTCTTATGCGAATTCCTTTCTTCAGTCCAAACGATTCTATCTAATAGTAATAATAATAATCTACTTTATTCCAAGACAAATAGTACTTATAATACAGAATGGAACTGTCAGCGTTTGTCACAATATTGCATCTTATTCACTCAAAATATAAATAAAATTAAAAATTAAAACAAAATTAACCAGAGGAATTTGTCCACGTTTACGATATAAAGTCAAAAATATTCGAAGCACGAATTGAGAATATTACATATAATAATAATAATAATAATAATTATAACAGTGAGTTTGTTTCAAACAGTATTGTCGATTCAGTTTGGAAATTTTAGCATGTTATATAGTACTAATCTAATGTTCTTTTGATATAGTATTGTGAGGGGAACGGCAAAATTAACAGTTATAATACAGTTCAAATGATGTTCACACTTATGTAAAAATAAACGAATAGAAACAAAAAATTGAGAGGACTATAAATATAAGAAGAACAATAACAATAAAGTTTGATTCTGTAAGGTTGGGGAAAATGGTTTATTTACTAGTGAAAAGAAGGTTAATTAGTTCATGCCTAACACTATTTTTATCAAATAAAGTACTTGCTGTCAAATGTGGTATAGTGGAATTTTTGTACTTAGACGTACGTGCATAAATTCTTCTGAAAAGACTTCTTGTTTTACTTGAGGAGGAGACACAAAGTTGGAGCTGCGGGTGCTGCAGTGGATGTTCACTGTCTGACAAAATTCCTTTAGCAAATTTGTTGCATGAAATCAACTGCTTATCGGTGACGATGTCAACGATATGGCCCAATGGGATACCACTCGCCCTACTGACTGACAGTCTTCAGAGTTCTACGAAGTATGACATAGTCTTTTTTAAGCAATCCAGGAAAGAATAAGGGTGAACAGTAAAGAAGAATAGGTAAAATACACTAGTTAACAAACTGTAAGAAGAATGGTTGGGTTATACCTGAGTGCCTTAATGTAAAAAGTCAGACGAAATATTCTTTTAGAAATCGCTAAGACATGAGAGGACCAGGATAGGTCAGAAGAGAGAATTAAACCAAGATACTTAACCTCAGACTTGGTTTCTATATATCAGTATCATCAATTTTGCAAGAGTCATAGGAACCAATTACAACGATTATCGGCATGTAACAATGTTAAGATAAATAAAAAGAATGGATATTGTACTATGAGTGAATAACACTCGCCATTTATTGGAAGAAAAACTAATTCAATCAATAAATAATAATGATAATAATAATATTCAATAGATAACTAACGTCATAATATACAGCAGATGGATGTTTATCACGAAAAACTTGGAAATGGGTGACCTGCAAAGTGAGATAAGATTTTTTAAATTATATCTCCCGTAGTCCAATCTTACACAGCATTGAACAAGACGACCAAACCGATCACCACCGTCATCATAATTAACATATAGAAAAAAATCTATGCATAAAAAACAGCCTCTTATATAGCAAATTATGCTAATCTTACCGAAACAGGGTTGTCGAAAATTGGCTTTTGTGTTTCCTGACGCTTAATCTTCGGGCTGACACAAGATCCAACTAAATGCACCATGATGAAGTGTTCTGGAATCTGTGTATAAAAAATTTTGAAGGTGACAACAGCATGAAAAAAGGGTTTTAATAATGAGTGAGTGAAGGTGACAGACGAATGCAAGGCTCATAAATCACAATTAAAAACAATAAAACGAAGTGCATTTTCTATAAGTATGTCTGTCTGTTTTCGACATAGAAATTTGTACCGATGTGCAGTAGCAGTTCAAGTCGCCACACTCCATTCCTTGTAGCACACAAAGCAAGAGAAGAAAGTAGAAGAAATGCAAAATAGAGACAGTAGACAGGGATATATTTGTGCGTTAAAGTTTTTGTAGCAATTTGGTTAAGTTTTGGGGGTGTAGTTGCTAGCACCACGACCCAACCCTCCCCCTTTATCCGGGCTGGGGACCGGCTAGAATACTAGTGACCTAGTAATCTAGGCGAGTTGATTAGCAACATCCAGCGCCAATCACCATCAACGGGAGGGATTTGAAAGAGGTTACTTCTTTCACTTATCTAGGGAGCATTGTCTCAACTACAGGAGGAACGGACGAGGATGTCAAATCGAGAATCGGGAAGGCGAGAAACACATTCATCAACCTGAAACCAATCTGGAAATCTTCGTCACTCAGCCTGAATCAACAACAAAATTCGGATTTTCAATACAAACGTCAAATCAAGTTTTGCTATACGGATCAGAAACTTGGCGGGTCACCAAGAATATTTCCAACAGCCTGTTGCAGACCTTTATCAACAACTGTCTTCGCTCCATACTGAAGATCAAATGGCCGGAAAGAATCACCAACAAGAAACTATGGGAACAAACGAAACAAGAACCAATCGCTCAACAAATATGCAGGAGAAAGTGGAGATGGATTGAACATTCGTGAGGAGGCCTTTGGGTGATATCGCGCATCAGGCCAACGCTCGAGTGGAACCCGGATGGGAAGCGGTGAGTGGGAAGTCCAAGGGTGACATGGAGGAGATCGTGTGAAGAGGAGTTGAAACGGTATGGATTAACATGGACGCAGGTGAAAAGTACAGCAGAAGACAGAAGCAAGTGGAGACGTGCAGTTGAAGCACTGTATTGCACTAGGAACCCAAGGGAACAATAATAATAATAGACAGGGATATGAAACAAAAATAGAAGTGATAACGACGAACAATGTAGTTTCATTGAGTATTATAAGTCACAAGGAGTGGATGCATCTGCGCTATTCATTGAGAACGATTTTGAGCCATATCACGAATTGTCTCCAGCCATTGGTGTTAACCGTCCCGAGGACCCCAATCAGGAAGTCTACACCTCCCTACGTGGCTGGCTGGCTTAAACTGTTGTAGATTTCATTCACTAATGCCGAGTTTTGGTTTGACCGCTGCTAGCTCTTTTCCAGGCTATGTCAGCTAACATTTCCCGTCGAGGAAGGCGATGACTAGGCATGCGTAACACATGTCCTAACCATCTCAGTCGATGTAATTTCACAACCTCGTCGATTGATTTCCCCTTCCTCCTTACTTAGCACTCGACTGAAGCCTAACCTCAATATTACTCACCTGATTATACCACTCCACACGGGAGATAGAACGCAGGCACTTATAATCGAAAACAGCTAATCTTTTCAAGTCTTCCACTCTCAATGACCAGGTCTCACAGCCATAAAGGATGACGGAGCAGACTCCTGAGCAGTACACACGTCCTCTGGTCGACAGCCAGCTGGATATCACGTCTACGCCATAGACGGCGTAAACTGGCATATGCGAAACTAGCCTTCTGTATCCGTGATGAGATTTCGTTAGAGATCAACCCATTGGCGCTGGCTGATGGTACTTCCCAAATAAGTGAAGCGGTGAACGCTTCACTTTCTATCAGTACGAGTTTAATTCCATGCGTTCTGAGTGAAATATGGGGCTTCAATAACGCATCTGCACTTTGTTCTGTTTTCTGCCGTCCTCTTCAACTGGGTCCACAATTGACCAAACCCTCTCATCTCTTCCTCGTATCATCTCCTCCATATCACCCTCGCACTGACGATCCACTCGTCGCTTCGTGTTTAGATTCCACCTGAGGGCCTTGCGCGGCATGTCATTCGACGGTCTACTCAATATATATCCGATCCATCTCTATTTTCTCCCACACATATTTATTGAGCGATCGGCTCTCACCTGTTGGTTTGCAGCTATAGTTTATTTTTGCTAATTTTGTGGGGGCTTGTGCAGTTAGAGTTTATATACCCGGTCTCTGTGTATCTAAGGGGATATGGTTGTCACTCTGGATCTACCATGGTGATATGTTTTACGCATTAATAGTTATTATTAATAATAATACTTCGTTTTATTCTATCTCTTATTATTATTATTCCTGATTCGTTTAAAGCTATTTTTTTGTGAGAGGCACTATCTTAACTCGTTTTAACGTTTTTTTTAATAATATGATTATTATTACTACTACCAATACTATCATTGTCGATATTATTCAGTATGCAATTCTTGATACATTCAAGTTCTTTCTCTGATGACTAATTGTTCATTAAATTGATGTACCGAAGCCATAACTCTTTTCCACTTGTCTAATGTGAAAATGACCTGAAACACATTCACGTTTGTCGTGTCGCATGATTGGTTCATTCAATGTAGTTTACCAGCTTATCAGACTGATATCTCCCAGTGTAATTCTAATGGTGTAATAAATATCCCTTTCTGTGTGTGGGGTGTTTAGCTGAAGAGTTCTACTGACAATCGATAAAGTCAATAAATCTCGGCATATTAACCTTCGTCGCTTGTCTTATATGGAATGAAACTCGTCAGCTGTGATCACCAATAAACTATAATCGATAACATCTATTCATTCATATTTATCTAGACTCAAGACTAAATTGTGCGTCGGTGGCACAGCGGTTAGGACGCTCACCGACCATGCACATGGTCCGGGGTTCGATCCTCGGCCACGGACGCACTCCTTTACCTCGCTAAGCCAGAAATAAGGCTGGTAAAGAGGAAAGGTTGGGCATGAGGCTAGCAACCCCATCCTGTAAAAATAATCACCACTGCTACAGAAACTTCAAGCATCTGGCTTGAAGCCCTATGTTCCACTGGGAACGTGAAGCGATAAAATATATAAGACTAAATTGATTCAAACTTAACCAGCAGAGAGGACTAAGCAATGGCTCACTCACCTGAAGTAACTCCTGGCTTCTGATGTATGCGTCTTCGAAAAAACATTCACGTTGTTTCGTATATATATATATATATATATATATATATATATATATATATATATATATATATATATAGTATTTGACTTTGTTCACGATAAATGAAATCAGTATTGAGCATGTAAAGTGATCGAATTCTCCTCTGAATCTCAACGTTATTCATAAAGTCTTTATACACATTAAAGTAAAATGTCGGTATGGATCACAGCATCACTAAACGAGCTAGTTTAACTACTGGCGTAGTATTATTCTCAGACGGAATATGGACTGTCGACAGCTCAAAGTTTTACGAAGTACAAGAGTAACTTCAAATCAGACAGCTTAATTGTTTTTTTTTCTCATATATATAGATTTCCTAATAAAGAAATTCGGAACGTAAATTTGTAATCAATTTTTCAGTGAGTTATACCGAATTTAATTGGTGGAATCTAAGATAACGCGCATTTCGTCCTATTTGGTAGTGGGTGCGTACTGCTGAAAAGTGTCCCAAACTAGGACGGCGGAAACAGCTGTTCAGTACTCCCAGCTAGTTTACCAGTGGTTCTTTCTAACTTATGTCAGCTCATGATGAAATCTTGTAACCAATCAATTAATCAATCAAATCCCTACAAACCAATACTGAAATTTTGACATGCTGCTGCTGCTGCTGGATTCAACATAGAACTTGGCACCGAGGTGCAGCAGTTCGAGTTGCCACGTTCCAAAGAGCACACAAAGGTAGACAGGAAAATGAGAGAAGAGAATCAATAGAATTTAGATAAGTATAAGCGTGAAACAGAATGAGTAATGGTAGAAAGGAATATGAAGGTTAAAGAGACTGAATACATCTGCGCCACTGATAACGATTTTGAGCCATGTCACCTATTGTCTCCAGCCATTGATTGATTCTTAGAGTCCCGAAGTCTGGCCCCAACCCGGAAGTCTGCATCTCCCTACCTGACTTAGTTTAACTGTCAGGGATTTCATGGATTGATGCCATGTTTTTGTTTGGCCACCACTTACTCTTTTCCAACCTGCACCTATATCAGCTAGTAATGCCCGTCTGTCGGGGGAGGTGATGGTTAGGCATGCGCAGCACGTGGCCTAGCCATCTCAATCTATGTAACTGTATAGCCTCGTCGATTGATTTTCCCTCTTTGCCCAACACTCTACGCCTAACGTCAACATAACTTACCTTATTATACCACCTAACGTGAGAAAGAGATCGTAAACATCTGTGGTCAAAAAATTTTGACATACTTGCACAGAGTTCATTTTTAAACAAAAAATCAATATATGCATACAATGCTAATAATAATAATCACTTTATCCCAAACAATAATAATCACACATAATGGAATCTTTCGGCACTACGTAATCACATGAAGGAAAGGATGAAAACATCCAGTCACCGAATCAATCAAGGAAAAACTGATAACCGCTTCTTTCTGAACGCAGAAACCAAGTTTCAGACTCTTGATAGAGATTGCTTCGGCAAACTTAAGGAGAATTAACCTGTTTTGCGTACTGTTAAATTTGAACGATCTTGCGATGTCCACCTCATGATGGCACTGTTTCAAGCATTTGTTCCCTTTAGACATAGGCTTTTTAGAATATATGTTCAGAAAATCGGAGATATGCCCTTCTTTCTGTCCTCTCAATGTAACTGCTCTCGCAGATACATGTAAATTTGTATATACAGTTGGAGTTAATATGAGAAGGATATCTATCGAATGCCGGACAACTGAGCTAAGAAATGTTTACTTTTTTCAATCAGACCCTCATCTTTTTTGCTTCAATACAAACAGTTTTACCAATCCAGTGGAGATATGCTTGTTAACAACAATCACAGTCAGTGATCAACACAAATGTGAAAGGAGTGATACTTAACGAAGAGAGTTAATATAAAAACGAGAAATGGTTACTACGATTTAACTATAAAGTGGATAATTTTGAGAATAAAGGAAGGCATAATAATTGAGTGATCAACTTGGTTTCGTGATATATAATAATTAAGGAAATGTAAAATAATGTGGATGGACAATGGTAAAGCATTATGTATACATATATCAGATCGAGAGATGAAGATCTAACTGAAAGTGGATATCGATATCAGCTGACCGACCAAACATCGGTGTGAACAAAACACTAGATAGCATTTTCGCTCTTGGTTTATTACTACTGATATCCGTCAATAAGTAGTATATAGTTCCGTGCATTGTTAAACTCTTAATACTCTGATGGTATTTTGTGGTTGTTTGTGCTAATGCATATACGTGAAACTAGTACTGAGTGTGTCTGTCTGTGTGTGTGTGTACCTTAGCGATAAGACAAATTAGTGATAACTGTATGAAATTGTGATAATCACCGAAAATACCCATTGAGTCATGAAGAAAATAAAAGACAGTAGAAGACAGCGAAGAAAATTTTCTTTATCGCCGAAATCTGACGCCCTTTGTACCATTTGGCTTCACTGTGTAGATGATCTTGAAAGACGACTCTGGTGGAGCTACGTGGCGTGAGTTCACCAAATGCTCGAGAATTGAGCTAGGGATTTTCTTGCATTGTCCCTTTGCTAACCATGCCGGATAATGTTCAGATATGCGTTTGGAAAGCGTGCGCTTTGTGTGGCCAATATGACTAGCTTCATACGAGCAGTTGAATTTATAAACACACATTGAGGTGGCCCAAAGCGGCAGTTTATCCTTCACACAACCGTTGATCATTTGTCGGCTGTAGAAATTGATACGTAGCTCAGCCATAAAGAAGGCTTGCCTCAGTGATCTGCATAAGCGATTCTTCAGGATCTCAGCTGCGGTATCACCTTTAAATTCAGCACTCATAAATAGCAGTTTCTTCGGTACCGTCTGGATTCTTTCAGGCTTTGCCCTTAACTTTATGTTTTTGTCGATAAATCTTGGAGTATATCCATTCTCAATGAGGACTTATCTGAGTCGCCCCAGTTCCACGTCGATTGAATCACTTGAACATGTCCTCTTTATTCTTGAGGATAAGGAATGAATCAGATTTCCTCTTTCTTCTCCAAGGGACCCAGCTATGGGAATTTGTGCACTGACCATTCCATGTTGGTATCCTGTAGATCGATCTTTCAAGAGAACCATCAGATCACCTTTTTAGAACATCCAGAAAATGGAATTCTGAGTTCATTTCTGATTCCGACGTGAACTGGATGGCATGAAGGCAGCTGTTGAACTCTTTAGTTATCAGTTCGATGTCGGTATTGTCGTCACATATGATGAAAGTATCATCCATGTATCTTTGGTACAAATGGAAACTATCGGTGGTAGGCCATAAAATACTATTCTCCAAACTAGCCAAGAAGCAGTCTGCAAGTAAAAGACCCAATGGTGACCCCATTGCCACTTCACTTCTAAAGCCACTTCTGAGTAATTATATTAATTATGTCACCCCCTATTACACAATAATAGACCACTATATATTTTTGTAAGTATAAATACGATTGTACAGCCTCTGAAGATGATTTCGTCGATAAAGAACATTTTTTTTCGCTAAATTTTGATAAATTGTAACTTTTTATAGTGATCTTTTTTATAATTGAAAATTATAACTGATGGAATCATTGTGGCTGATTGAGTTTTCAACGTGGAATTTTGTACGGAAGTGCAACAGTTCTTCAAGTTGTCACACTCTGCAAGGATAAGCTACCATTGCTACTGTCTTTTTATCAGTCTATATCTATCAATTCACCTGCTCTTGTGTGTAGCTTAGATATGTTGGCTGAACTTAGCTGAACTCTGTTATCCAAATGTATTGTCGAATTCCTTCTCTGATGGATTTGTAGAGAAGAAAAAAGATACTCCTCCTCCCCGCCCCCCAACATTGAATCTGGCCACCAGGCTAACCCACAAACCAAGTCATCTGTAGAATACGCGGGAATTGAGCCAAAGCAATATATGCATCAAACTTTTTCAAAAACCTCAGAGGCAATGGCAATTCACATGTTAAAACCGTGAACTATTCATACTGGAGGAGTTGGTTTTCAATAGTAGAACCTACAACAGACCTGCTCTGATCTAATATCTAATACATAATGTTTTTGTTGTTATTATCACTGTTCCTAACTTGACGCCCACTGAAATTCAGTTGAGTTCTGCTGTACTAGGTCGTGTATAGGGGCATACTCATTAAAAGTCGTTTTTCACTAGGGACCATACTACCTTGTTTTGATGTTTATCGTAATGTTAATATCTGTGGGTTTTTTTAAAAAATGACTGTGTTTAAAGGGGGTAAGTGATATGTGTCAAGGAACCTAACCCTAAGTTCGTATTATATCTCCGAAGACGCTCAAACCGACAGTTACTGAGTACAATATTGACCTTAATTCCAAAACACAAGGACTAAGAAGAATTGGTATTGTTCCACAGTTAAAGTCAATACTCTGTACAAAGTCTATAAACAAATGTTTTGCAAAGAATGTATTTATTTTATTTTTTTATTTTGATTTACAGCTTGATTCCACACCGTATTTTCAGTACAAGTGTGGGATTTTCAGCATGGATATCGGTAGCCCAAATTCAGGCTGACCATAGATATCGGGTGTGCGCCGGCAAGGGATCGAACCCCAGACCATGTGCATGGTCGGCGAGAGTCCTAACCACTGTGCCACCGACGTATGGTACTTTTATCCGTATTCTTTCGTCTTCTTCCAACTTGTACAGAATTGAATTATTCTCGCCTTCGAGTTGCCCGCCAATGGTGACCAAGGCCAATGTTCAAACGTTCAATGTTCACATTCACTTGCAATATGTGTATGGATGTATTTCAAGTGTTTCTCTCAACCATTTTCCTCTTTTTTATTCTTTCGCATTCCGAGCATACCATAGGGGGCTTCAAGCTTGAGCTTTTGAAGTGTCAGTGACAGTAGTGTTGTTTGTCTTTGTGGATTGGAGTCACTAGCCGCCACACTCACAACCTTCTCTCTTTACCAGGCTTATTACCAGCTAAGGAGCAAGGCTTCGAACTGTGTTGGCCAGGAGTCGAATCCGGGTCATGTGTGTGTGTGGCGTGGTTTATGAACATTCCACCATTAAGCCCACTGATCTATCTCTCAACTGATGCTATTGATGTATCAGCTTTTTATTATTTTTTCAAGTATTGGTTTTGTAGGGATTTTGTTTGATTGCATGGAGGATTTCATCATGAGCTGACATCAGTTAGAGAACCACTGGAAAACCTGGGAGTACTAGGCAACTATTTCGGCCTAGTTTGGGACTCTTCAAAAGTACGCATCCACCGCCAAGCTTTGAACCTAGGACCTTCTGGTTACGAGGCGAGCTCGTAGACCATTGAGCCACTGGGACCCGTCCTATCCAATGGCCCATGAATTCTAACTTCTGCCCCTTTAAGACATAGCGCGACCATTTGGCAATGTCTTCGATGAGTTACTGCCTCATCTTCAACCTGCTGTACCCTACTGGTCACGGCTTCCCACTAGAACTCCGGGTCACTACCTGAATAGGGCCAGTCGCTAGTGAGCATCAGATTAATTTTCAAGTATCCTTTTTTATTTTTTTTTGCCTTCTCAGTGGAACGTTAGCGTTAGACTTCACACTTGGGCCTCGAAGTTTCATTAGCAATGATGTTCTTTTACGGGCCTAGGGTATGCACCGGCTGTTGGGAATCGAACCCTAGACCACATGCATGGTTGGCAGCAATAACACAGGTATATATATATATCATCCGATCACCTCTTTTATTTTTTTATCTTTTTCAGGAAAGACGTTGTGGTGAAACTTTACGATCAAATTATGCACAATATCAGTTAGAATCACGTTATCTTGATGTTATGGTAGCTGATGCTGTCACTCTGCATCGGCTGTTACGTATCCCTGACAATGCTGGTCTATTCGATGCTGTAATCACTGATCCACCGTATGGATTTCGTGAACGTAGTTGTCGTGTTGCTGATCAACCACTGGAGCGTAAACCTACTCTAGTGACTAAAGATCGTCTAGCAGAGATTATGGGATTAACGCATATCAGGTGTGTGTTTTTTACGTGTTTTTGTTGTTGCTAAGTTATGTGACTGTGCTAATGTTTTCGTAACTGACTAACACTCACTTGAGGGTGGGTGGGTGGGAAAGCAGTTGTTTTATTATTACTTTATTATTCTCAAGGATTTCATTGACTTCAAGACTGATCGCAAACTGTACATCATCTGGAGAGGTTCCGAAAAACTGGCAGGGAGTACTGGACACGATTGGGATTCTTCATCAGTACGCATTCATGACTCCATCCACCACTAGGGATTGAACCCTCAGGACGTCTTCAGAGGTTATTAGGTGAGTACGCTTGACCATTCAGCCACCGGGAGGGGTTCCAATCGCCAATGAATATTCTAACATGTGTCAGTTTGTGATATTAGTGACGCTACCACTAACCAGTGACACTGATGAACACCTACTTCACCTTGACATTGTGGTGGAGCCCGCTGGTCATGACTCTTCTCATTAGAGAATTTTGAGGATATCCGTTTAGCAAGTACTAATCACCTGGAGATTTATATTTAAATTATGAGTCTTGTAGGGATTTGTGCATTAATTTCAGTGGAATTCTCGTCGAAAACCAACATCTACATAGCATAGCTAAATTGTCACTTGTGTTGTACTATTGTAACAGCAGAAGGCAAGACACGGAAGCAAAGGTATATTTTCAAGTGATCAAACAGCTATTTACATATCTTTACAGTTTATATTCTCTAACCAATCACTGAGCGTGTAATTTTGGTTTACATTGAACGACATGAAATAGAATGTTCAAATACACATACAGTATTCTGTTGCTAATTCAGTATTGAACTGTGAGAATAGTTTTATGTGAAATTGTATTCCATTGGAACACATTGTCTATATCACACCATCACACTCGTCGACCCATCAAATACTTTCGACTGAAGTCGGTTCTGTCTGTCTATCTGCCTGTTCTCAACATAGAACTTTGCACCGATGTGCAGCAGTTCAAGTCGCCACACTCCATGTAGCACACAAAGCAAGAGAAGAAAGTAAGAAGAAATGCAAAGTAGAGACAGTTAACAGAGATATGAGACAAAAGGTATACTAATATGCAAGAGTAATATAGTTTCATTGGAAATTATAAGTCATAAGGAGTGGATGCATCTGCGCTATTCATTGAGAACGATTTTGAGCCAGCCATATCACCAATTTTCTCCAGCCATTGTTTTCTACCTTCCCGAGGACCCCAACCAGACAGCAATCTACACCTCCCTACCTAACCGACTTAAACTAACTGTTGTGGATTTCATCGACCGATGAAGCCATGTTCTGGTTTGACCACTGCTAGCTCTTTTCCAGCCTGACCCTATGTTAGCTAACATTGCCTATGGAGGAAGGCGAACGCTAGGTTAGGTATGCGTCCTAACCATCTCAGTCGGTGTAGCTTCACAGCCTCTTCGATTGATTTCCCCTCCTTACCCTCGTACTCGGTTTGGTTTTCTTGGTGCTGGCAGCTTTGTTTGCTTGTCTTGCTGTGTCGAGTTCCGGAGCTCGCTGATGTTCACCCGCTTCTCTTTGTTTGCATTTCTGGTCGTATATATATACGTGACCCCGTCTCGCGGTGACCGTATGTAGTCCTTCCCACTTTGGAAGCAGTTTGCGTGACTGTGGCGCGTATTCACTGGTGTTTCGCATCATACTATTATATGTTGCCTTTGTCCGACCTCTCAGTAAAAGCGTCTTCTCTGACGAATTTTGAACGCCATTCAACTCCGCTACAGCCTCGAAATCCTGCAAGAAGATACATATGTCTCCTTCTTCAAAAACTGCAGGCCATGGGCTTTTCATTTCTTCACAGGTAGAGACACCAAATGTAACAGCAGAAGGCAAGACTCGGAAGCAAAGGTATATTTTCAAGTGATCAAACAACTATGTGTACATATACTTTTGACTGAAGTCGGTTCTGTCTGTCTGTTCTCAACATAGAACTTTGCACCGATGTGCAGCAGTTCAAGTCGCCACACTCCCTCCTTGTAGCACACAAAGCAAGAGAAGGAAGTAGAAGGAATGCATAATGGAAACAGTAAACAGAGGTGTGAGACAAAGGAATAGTAATAACGAAGAACAATATAGTTTCATTGGAAATCACAAGTCACAAGGAGTGGATGCATCTGCGTTATCCATTGAGAACGATTTTGAGCCATATCACCAATTGTTTCCAGCCATTGGTTTTTACCGTCCTGAGGACCCTAACCAGGAGGCCAGTCTACACCTTCCTACGTGACTTGCTTAAACTGACTGTTATGGATTTCATTGACTGATGAAGCCATGTTCTGGTTTGACCACTACTGGCTCTTTTCCAACCTGACTAATCCTATGTCAGCTAACATTGCCCGTTGAGGAAGGCGATGGCTAGGCTAGGCATGCTTAACACATGTCCTAACCGTCTCACTCAATCGGTGTAGCTTTACAGCCTCTTCAATTGATTTCCCTTCCTTACCTAGTACTCGGTTTGGATTTCTTGATGCTGGTGAAGTTGTTTGTTTGTCTTGCTGTGTTAAGTTCTGGAGCTCGCTGATGTTCACCCGCTTCTCTTTGTTTGCATTTCTGGTCGTATATATATACGTGACCCCGTCTCGCGATGACCGTATGTAGTCCTTCCCACTTTGGAAGCAGTTTGCGTGACTGTGGCGCGTATTCACTGGTGTTTCGCATCATACTATTATATGTTGCCTTTTTCCGACCTCCCAGTAAAAGCGTCTTCTCTGACGAATTTTGAACGCCATTCAACTCCGCTACAGCCTCGAAGTCCTGCAAGAAGATACATATGTCTCCTTCTTCAAAAACTGCAGGCCATGGGCTTTTCATTTCTTCACAGGTAGAGACACCAAATGTAACAGCAGAAGGCAAGACTCGGAAGCAAAGGTATATTTTCAAGTGATCAAACCACTCTTTATATCTATACAGTTTATATTCTCTAACCAATTACTGAGCGTGTGAGTTTGGTTTACATTGAACGACATGAGATAGAATGTTCAAATACACATACAGTATTCTGTTGGTAATGCAGTATTGAACTGTGAGAATAGTTTTATATCAGAATAATGTTCCGTTGGAACACATTTTCTTTATCACACCACCAAACTATGAAGTCAAGTCCTCCAAAATGTACTCAAATTTTCATAATTCCTAATTATCTTTGAACTAATACTCAAGATGCTGTAAACTAAGAGGATAACCGCTATTAATTCGCCATTCCTGAGCACCGATGACAGAATAACTGATTAAAGATGCCCGTTTGAAAATTGTCCTGAATATGAAACAAGTTACTCAGAAGTAGTATAACTAAGTAATTTGCAATTTTTTTCCGATTCCATTATGGGTAAATTTTATTTTGATAGAGCCTCACAGTGTTATACAGTAATATTTACTGATGACGTTTCGAGCACAATTTATTGCTCATAATCATATCAAGGTGTGAGACTCTATCAAAATAAAATTTACCCATAATGGAATTACACTCTACCACAGTGCCCAAGTTTTATTCTTATATCAATTTTTTTCCGATATATCACTAAAGTTCTTTAAATTTATTCCTTGTTTGTGCACAGTAATAATGATTGTAATGCAAAGAAGGAAGAAGAAAGTGACAATGAAGCTTTGGTGTTAGTTCCACATGACTTACCACATTTTCCACATAAAGTAAGTCAATACTATTATTTTAATAGGTAACGACAGTTTTGTGGATACGTTTTGTTGTAACGATCGATCTATGGTGGTTGTGTGATTTTTTCTATTGAAAAAAATTTTCATTTTGATATCTGGCTCCCTTTGAGAAGTTTGATCGAGTCTTGTATAGAACTTTGAAGGGTCTTTCATATGTAGGTGAGTGTCCTGAGTTCACAAGATGTTCTGAGTGTGTCTTACCAGCGAGTGAACGGTATTACCGATGTACTCATCTCTATAGGAGAAGGTAAACTAGTGGTATATGCGTGCTGATGTGGTCAGGTGCGACAACTTGTCTTTCATGTACTGGCGGAATAGTTTCTTGGAAGAATGTGTTACTCGTAGGCTGGTGGCGGTGAAATATATTTTGCGGAGAGATTTTAAAAGTCTTCTTCGAAGGATTTTCGCCTCAGTATCTTTTTGAAATTCGAGATTCAACAGTAGGATCTTTTTAGCGCCGACCTGGACCTGTTGAGCAGCTTTCTTTGGTTTCAGGTTCTTGTATATATGAATTTGGGTGTGGAGCCACCTTCCATCAAGCTTCTTTGAAGATTTTGTGGCTCTTCGTCAACAGATACTTCATTGAATAGCTTCTGGATTCTTGAGGAAAGAGAATAGATGAGTTTCGTCTTTCTGCTTAAAGGGATAGAACTTTGAAAATCGATAAATTGTACGTTCCTTGTGGGCTTTTCGCAGATGGTTATTTTAACATAAAATTATTATGTCGATTGAATGATCGGAATATTCGAGGGAATACTGATAGGACCCAACACATGAAATAGTATATCATCCTTTCTCACGAATCGTGTGATTTATCTTGTGATGGAGTTACTACGTGATGATGTATCGTTTCTCACGCATATTGTGATTTAGTGTGTGATATCAATTCAAATAGTCTTTTGTCTCACCTTGATCTTTGTTAGATCACCAACCAATGAGAATTGCCATTTCCAGCCAATAAGAACAATCCATTCCCACAGTTGTGAGCCGACTTTATTATGGAAAAGAAAATGTATAAATATCATGTACTGTTGCCTAGAATTTACAACGCAGTATCTTACAGTTCACAGGCCGCCAGCCTGTGTCTTTTGATATTTGCGGGGCTCAGTGAATCGGAAGGTACAACGAACAAATAGACATATTAGCATACCAGTCGAGTTCATCACCGTCATAGTTAATTAACAGGTACAGACATAAAAGGTAGCGAACTGGTCTGTTCAGTTCAGCTACAAAAAATTGACAACGGAATTACAACAGATACTTTGAAGAGTTCAATTTAACTGGAATAATACAACCTGGCTGAATTTGCTCACCGTCTAGCATCTACCCTGAGTAAAATGTTGACCGGGGTCACCCTTCCAACTGTAACTAAGGTTACACAAAGGCTGTCTCTAGTTTGAAATTGAAGCGAAACAGTGTGATTTGATAGAATGACTTCAGAGGTGGAATCTGAGATATTTACATTCTAGGTTCATTAATTAATTATGCGTAGACTGAGTAGTGCTCGGGTGATAAATCAGTTAGACTTAAGATCTGATCCAGGGTGTAATGATCATGTCTTTACCCTTCAACAGATTCTGAAACATTAGCATACTGACCACTGTCCAACAACTGGCATATTTCTTGACATGAAGGCGACATTTGATTCTGTAAAGTGAGCGCTGAGAAAGGATATCACACTCATTAAGACACCTTACTTGAACTTATGCAGCCATGTAACAGCTTATGGAGAGTTGTCATGTGAAATGATGATATCCGTCTCCGTCAAGTTCACCTAATGTCTTCATTGTTGTTTAACTTCATCATTGATGTACTCATAGATGTGACTAATCGATACTAAGGCGGCTTGATGGTTGAAATATTGCCAGGGAATAGTATGGAGATGACAGTGTCCTTCTAGGTGAATGCAGGGTCTTGAGCAGAAATCACAGACTAGCAGTTTTTGTCTTCTGATATATTCATAGCTTAGTGAAGAAGTTATTGATTGGGACTGGGTGTTTTTGGTACTTAGGTGAGGTAGGTATCTGTTACATTCAACATTGCGTATCTGTGGTGAGAGCTGTCTGCTAGCCAAAATTGGTAGACAGCAATTTACATCAATGTTTACGTCCCAAATCTTGGTCATGAGAAAAAATCAAGAACGAAGCCTAACTTAACAACCAATCACAGCAGACTTTGCGTGGGTGGATACGATTCACAGATACATCACCGGACTGTCTAAGAAACGGTCACAAAGAGGTGACAGAATAACCTTCAGCAGGAAAACAGCCAATCAGAAGACGTTGTACATGAAAATCTATAAATATCTGTTGATTTTCTCAATAAACGATCTGTTGCCTGGCCCTTGTCTTCTGTCGTTACATATCTACGTATTCATCGTATCAGTAACTTGTGCTACGTGTTTAGAGGAATAATGTCATCCTATCTATCAGGTGTTACGTTTGTCTGTTTTAAAGGCATTTTATGAACTTTTCTACGCATCTGAAATATATCTATTGTGGCGTTTATTATCCAATGCGCGAAAACACCTTACAATAGCTTTGTTTCTCATCCTTTGATGATTATATATTAAACCTTTTTCGGTTTTTCCCGCTTTATGATTTTCCCAATTAGGAAGTATATCCATTGAATAAAATTTATCAAGATTTATTAGACTTGTCAGCGTATCTATTACGTCCTGGAGGACGTTTAGTCTTTTGGTTACCAGTTGAACGATCCACATTTATGGGTGTACAGTCAATTCCAAAACATCCGAATTTTCGTTTACTTGCAGCTTGTGAACAGGTAGGTATAAAACGGATAATAATAATAATAACTGACTATTCCTGTTACACTACAGGAACTTTTTCACAGTTATGTATTCTAAAATATGGAACAGTTTGCCCATAGAAGTCAGAACTTGCACCTCGGTTATAAGTTTCAAATGCTCTCTGTACAGACTGTTCCACTCTACTGATTACATTAATAAACTATTTATTTCTAGAACGAAACAATTATTGGATTACTACTATAGTATCTAATGTACGCGTAAAACTTCCCTAATTACACTATAAACGATAAATAGACTAGTCACATAGATTATAGATAAGATTTTATTTTGATAAATCACACAGTGTCGTTATACAGTAATATTAACTGATGACCACGTTTCGAGCACAAACTATTGCTACTCATAATCATATCAAGTCACTACTCACACAACTTTTTCCTTCATTTATATACATGAGTGGAATTGATGATTAGACATTTCAATAAAAATCAATATAGGATAATGTACATTCAGAAACAATAATATGAGTGTTATTCACCAAATACAATCAGAGGGGAAATAAGACGAGTGTTTTTATAGTCACAATAAGTAACTTGTTAGAATGTTAGAGTGTATGTGAATTGAAATAGAATTTTAAGATTATTTATTATCCTCTTCTGATTTGACTGACTGGTGGTAATAATATCTTCCATGCACATCTCTGGTATTTGCATTGAGTCATTTCTGTTGCATGTGTTGGGTGTAGACTCGATGAACCAAGCAGGATTCAGTAATCAATCTCTCTCACTCTCCACCTACCTATATTACTTTTTAGAATTTTGACTCTATCCCAATGTTGTTACAAGATATACTGAACATTTTTACAGTGTGAATGATGACATCAGAAACGAATTCATCATCTTTGCCAGTTTGAAGGATATTTTGAGTCGTCCTACAAAATGTTTTCAAATCTTAGTATCTCGAATACCTTAGCCAAATAATCTACATCATCCTGTGTGACTCAAATCAATAGTCTAAGACTTCACGGGTTAGTATTGTGTTTTGTCTGACCATCCCACCCCGCCTCACCGCGAAAAATCCTATTTCGCGTAATATATTGTTCATAGAAAAAAACGGTGGCGTGACGTGGTAATACATTCCCTACTTCATATTTTACGTGTGCTGCACCTAATATGAGTGAGAGAAAGATTATATAAATGCATCTTAGAATAAAAAACCCTTAATCTTTTCACATCTGCCTCCGATATCTATACCTCAGTATACACCAGAGGGTACTGCAAAAATGAAAAAAAAGTTGACCAGCACTAAACTAGTCTTTTTCTTGTTCAAAACCCACAATGTTGTATACATTTTGTTCCCTGTGGAATCTCCCTCTCAATATTATCTTTGTTAGACATAGGCTGTTGTTAATTAGGGAAATTCAATCGATGAAGTTGTGTAGGTGTGTGTGTAGCTTCATCGATTGTCAGTTAAAGAGAATTAGGTGTGTGGATGATGATCAAATCAAAACCTGGTAACAAATCATAAAGTTCTGTAACTCTGCTGGTTTGAGTAACACGTAGATTTAGATGCGTAGACCATCCAGTTGGAATCCTCGGAGTAGGTGATATGTTTCAGGATCGTTCTCAGTGTGGTTCAGATGCATTCATTGTTTGTAATTTTCCAGAATTTTTTTATCAAATCCTTATGCTCCTCTATGTCACTATTCGACGCTCCCCCCGCCCCCACCATACATTTCTGCTCATTATACTACTTTTCTCAACCTTTGTGTGCTACATATGGAGTGTGGCATCTTGAATTGCTCTGTGACACATATATGCAAAGTTGTACGTTGAAAACTCAGTCAGTCTATTAGATGGTTGGAGGCAATCGGCCACAGGAAGTCTTGCTTGACCTAGGTTTCATGCTAGTTGGCACTCACTAGTCAATCAGCAAGGCGTATCAGTGGTAACGTCTCTGATTGCAGCACTGGGTGAAGCGGGTTCGAATCTCAGAAGGGACATGAATTCCCTCAAGGTAATTGCAGATACGTCTTGCTATCTGGTGAGTGCCAACTAGCACGAAACCTAGGTCAGGCAAGGCTTCCTGTGGCCGATTGCCTCCAAAACTATCTAATATCATCAAATCAATGTGCACTGTGATGGCGAGCTACCTAGAATGGTGGCCACATTGCACCAAAGAAAGGACTAAGTACATCACACCAATTTGTTACTAGTGTCCAATCAAAGTACTCAATCGGTCTGTCAGTTAGTACTTGCTTTGTTCAAGTTTTTTATGTTATTATTATTATTATCCGTAGTAACATCTGACGCCCATCTTTTATCTAATTTTTTGTTTTCATTGCATCTTATTCTAGACTTTGAACTCTCGTAATTCAAGATATCTTGTAGTTATGATGAAATGTGAAACGAGTACACAGTTGGATACTGTTTCCTGCAATAATAGTGATAATAATAATAATAAATAATAATAGCAATCCTGATGAATTAATCTTTCCAGCTGTTTATGCCAAATAATTGAGATAAAATCAATATTATTGATTGATTGATCGATTGATCGATCGGTACTTTTATCGATCGTGTTTGTATATTTTCTTATTTTCTTGGGCGTATCGTTGCTTTTATCTCTCATGATTACATGCGTTTTGTATATTTTGAACAAATAAAAGAAGGAAAAATAAAGAGAACGTGGTTGAGTTACATCATTGTGCTTACCCCTTACTTTTTCTTATGAGTTTTTAATATGAAGCAGTCACCAATATGGTTTAAGCTGAATAAAATGATGCCATTATATTATTAGTCGTCACTGTTTTGTTTCGGCTGCATCCAACCCTGAGATTACTTCATGAGGTTTGGTCACAGATTGATATCAGTTGCATAGAGCCATTGAAAACCTGCTTGCTGAAGTTGTTGGATAGCTGTTCCGTCTGAGTTTGCGACTCTTCAGAGGTGTACACATCCAGCATGGTTTTCAAGGAGTTGATTTGTAGGGATTTGAATTGTTTTCTAAGTTTGACCACGGATTGATATCAGTTAGGGAACCATGCGAAACCCTAAGGGAGTCCTGGACAGCTGTTTCGTCTTGGGATTTATCGGCAGTACACACCCACCGGGGTCTTGAACCCAGGACGATCCTGCCACAATACAATCCCGTAGGCCACTCATCTACTGTGAGCGGAGTCAATGTCCCGTGAATTCTAACTTCTATCAATTCGTGATTTTTACGCGACAATCAGCCAATGTCATCAGAATGAGTCTGAATAAAACTATCCAAACAGTTCCAAAGAAATGTGTATATATATATATATACATATATGTATATATATATATATATATCAATTTACCTTTCAAAAGAGATGACGTACAAAAAGTGGTCAAACGAGGACTTGATAAAGTTGTCAAGAGAACTCGTCTTCCTTAACACCATCACAAGCGGGTCCTTCAACAATCTGTAAAAGACCAGTCGCCAATCCTTGACAGACTTCAAACAACGCTTATCAGTTTGAGTGCGTTTGTGGAAGCAGATACATAGGTCGTACGTACGACAATTCGATTGTCTGCTCGCATAATGGAGCATTCGGCAAAGTGGTTGAAAACAGCTGAACTCAAAGTGTTTAAAAGTTCAATAACAAACCATCTGGTGAACTACGGACACGATAGTACAGTGGTTAGGACTCTCGCCGACCATGCACATGGTCCGGGGTTCGATCCCCTGCCGGCGCACACCCGATATCTATGGTTGGCCTGAATTTGGGCTACCGATATCCATGCTGAAAATTCCACACTTGTACTGAAAATACGGTGTGGAATCAAGCTGTAAATCAAAATAAAAAAGATATTGACGCACTGTCAAGTCATTCACCGTTATTGTCAGCGGACAAACAAATAGAAAGACACTCGTAATTGCGGAGGAGGCTTGTGAAATTAGAGTTTATAAGCCAGGTCTCTGTGTACAGAAGGAAAGATTGGTCACCCTAAATCTACCATGGTAATATGTTCTACATATTAACTGTTATTATTATTATTATTCTACCTTTAATTATTACTATTTCTGATTCATTGAAAACTATCTTTTATTATTACCATTATCTTAACTTATTTCAACATTATTATTTTCGCTACTACTCTGAGCATTGCTATTATTATCAATATTATTTAGTTCAAAATTCAAGTTTTTTCACACACTAATTCTTTATTTAAGTGATGTTACTGAACTGTGAAATGCATTTTATCTTAATTTTATATCGCAAGTATTCACCTGTAGAGGAATTTTACCGAAATTCGATGAATTCATTAAATCTCGCTTCATCAACAATATTTGTTGCTTGTTTTAAAAGAGATTATGTAGATGAATAAAAGGAATAGTTCAGAGATCGAATTATCAGAGCGAAAAGAAAGACTGAGAAAACATAAATTCATTTTCAAACGTAAGGTGTGTGTTTGTTGCCTGGTTGACCAGAATATGGAAGGTTATCATTCAGTAGTGGTTGTTAATTTTATTCCCATTCAACAGTGTAAGTGATCATAAGTAAATTTATGTAATGTCGTAACAACTTCATACTATGAAGATATGCCAGTCATAATACTTGTGATGAAGCAATTATTATTATTATAGAGCTTCGACAACACATCTCCACTTTCTTCTATTTTCTGCTATCCTCTTCAACTACGTCCATGATTGACCATAATCTCTCATCTCCTCCATGTCACCCTCGCACTGATGCCCCACTCTTCGCTTCCCATTGGGGTTCCACTTGAATGATGTGGCCTGGCTCGCGATGTCATTTGATGGCCTCTTCAAAGTATACCGATCCATCTCCATTCTCTGCCCACATATTATTTGAGCAGCCAGGTCTTGGTTGGTTTGTTGCCAGCCGGAGTTTCTCGATACTAATTGTTTCTGGCCCACCGGCCAGCTGGTCATTTGATCTTCAGTATGGATTCAGCCAGTGAACGTGGCAGCTGTTGATAAAAGTCTGTAACCTGTTGGAAATGGTTTTTTGTGACACAGAGGGCAAGTTTCTGACTCGTATAGAAGCAATGACATTTGTGTTGAAAATTTGAATCGTGTCCTTTATGCTGAGGCGAAGTGCAGATTTCCAAACTAGTTTCAGACTGATGAAGGCGTATGTTGCCTTTCCAATTCTGACTGGATGCCTTTGACATCTTCATTCGTTCCTCGTGCCTGTGTGGTTGTAACCGTGCTTCCTACATAAGTGAAGGGAGTAACCTCTAATAGAGCAATAAGCATTTCTAATAGAGTGATACTTGCACACAGATAAACAGTTGTGACGGGGATTTCTCTACTCATAAATTCTTAAGCATTAGAGTAGCTGCCTTAATTTCTCAACGGCAAGAAAGTCAGTTAAAGAACCGTTGAAAATCGTGGAGTATTAGACAGTTATTCCGTCTTCAGCGATGCATACATGGATGACACCACGCATCAAAGATTGAACCTAGGACCTTAATGTTACGAGGCGAGTTCGTTGACCACGTTGTCACTAAAATTAAATCCGACAGCCCGTGAATTCTAACTTCTTCGGGATATACAACGTGGCCTTCAACTAATGCCATCTATCAGTATTAGTCCTCACATGCAGCTTGCTGAACCCACCTGGTAACGACTTTCGACTAGAGGACTTCAGGAAGCATCATGGTGTCATTTGATATGATTTTCCTTGCTCATATGGAGAATGATTCGTGAAACGAAAGAAATGAAGCCAGTTCGTCATTATTCTTAAAGTCAATCAAATCCCTACAAACCAATATTTGAAAAACGTCAGTAATGCATGAATTTTTAAGATTCATAAAACGTTGATTGTTTACTAGAGAGTAACCAACAGTATGTGTGTAGGTTGCTGATTGAATTCTGTCGATTAAAACTGCCCATATGGTTACCAGACTAGCTGTCCTGTTATCGTGGTACACTTAGAAGTAATGTTAATTGATGTGAAGCAAACGATGATGATGCAGATACTCATCCATCCGAGATGGATATGAGTTCCTTCGAGGCTATGCATATATCGTGTGGAGAATTATCAATAAGCATAAAACCTGGATTCAAAGGTTTTCGCCAACTAAGTTTAACCGTTTGACACCAATACGGAAAATATCAATATGTTTTATAAAAAATCATCCCTGCATACATTTGGCTTACGTCATAAATAGCACTTAATACTTCTCAGGACTGGTGATGAACACTGAGAGTACTGGACAGCCGTTTCGTCCTCGTGTGGGACTCTTCGTCAGTATACACCCACTGCGGAGGTTTTGAACCAGGGACCTTCAGGCTACTAGGCAAGCTCTTAGACCGTCCAACCTAAGGGACTCGACACAACGGTCCATGAATTCCAACTTCTGCTGATTCGTGATATATATATATATATATATATATGTATAGCGCAACCTCCAGACAGTGTCACAGACGCATAACTGTTCTTTTGCCTGACTTGGTGGAACCCTCTGGTTACAACCTCCTACAAGAACCCCAGGTAACTTACTGTATATAGGACCAGTTGCCAGGTTTTCCAGTGGTAATCTTCTAGTGAGAGCTGTCTGCTAGACAAAATTGTAAACACCAATATACGTTAGTGTTTACATCCCGAATCGGGGTCATGAGAAGGAACAGGAACAAAGCCTAACCTTGAGGAACTCGACAACCGATTACAGCAGACTTAGCGTGGGCGGATACGATTCGGACTGTCTAAGAAACGGTCGAAAATAGATGACAGAATAACCTAAGCAAGAAAACAACCAATCAGAAGACGTCGCTTCTCTGCTAACAATAACGAATAATGATAATCTACATAAAAATCTATAAATTTCTGTTGATTTTCTCAATAAAGGATCCTGTTGTCTGGCCCTTGTCTTCTGTTGTTACAATCTATCTGATATCAGTTCGTGATCAATGCTGTAACCAATCAAATCCCTGTAACCAAAAACATGATAATATTTCTCAATGTAACTTGTGTCAGAAATATTAGAGTTTTAACTTCATCGGTGAATTTATATGAGGAAAAATGATTTCCATATGTTTTTGTTAGGGAATATATGATAAATGATGGATAAAACTTTAAGTTGAATTATGAAAGAACGAACATATTTGTAGGAAAGATGATGTGAGATCTCTTTCTTTCGTTGATTCTCCTCAACTGTGCACATCCCGAGCGACATCAACTATAATTTTAAAAATTTCCTAACATACATTTTAGAATTGTTACGAGTTATGAATAGAAAGTATAGGCAACATAATTGTAAGGATGATGTAAGTAGATGAATTATTCAGTGTTAAAAGAGTAACAGTTCATAGTACTTCTTCCCCTGTTTTACACTAGACAGATAACAACTGGTAATTGTTTTTGATTGCACACTAGTCAGTAACTAGTGTAATGTGTGTGTGTCTAGTCCTATCTTTAGTGCAGACGGAATTCTCTTAATCGTGTTTGTAATGTGGCTACCATTCTAGGTGACTTGCCATCACGGTGCACTGTGAATTGTTGATATTCAATGGTTGGAGACTGACGAGTGCCAACTAGCATGAAACCTAGGTCAAGCAAGGCTTCCTGTGGCCGATTGCCTCCAACCATTTAATACCAACAATTCAAACTGCATCGTGATGGCGAGCTACCTAGCATGATGGCCACATTACAAACTTCAC